GGGGGGGGGGGGGATTTTGGGGGGTCCCAAAAGCAGCTAACATTGATCGATGAACATCCCCAAAGTTTCGTTTCAAATTATTAGTTAGGTCAAATTTTAGAGGGGGTGGAAGGGACTTTTGGAACACCCTGTATAAAAGAGGGCCCAAGACTGATCACTGGGATATTCCTGCTAATCTTGGTTTAGGCTCTGAGAGGGCATCTCCCACTGGAACTTTAAAGGTGCTGTCTACTAGGTAGGAAATAATTCAATTTTACATGATAAGCTGGGAGTAAGGAAGTTAGCATTTTATTAATTTTTTGTAAGATAATCTATATAAAGCTTGCGCCACGTCTAAAAAGGTCGAGACGCAGTTCTCGCCTTTTTCTGAGGCATTTTCTGTGAATTTTGTGATTCTATGCAGCTGTTCAATAGTAGAATGTTTCTTTCTAAAACCAAATTAGGCATCTGGTGATATTTTTTCATAGTTGAAAACCTTATACCCCCCTAGTTGACTAGAAACCCTAGTTGTATAACCTTTAAAATTCGAGTGAGGTACAATCTCTCCCATAACTTCGCGATTGATGACAATAGTGATATTGGTCTTTATGAGGCTGAATTTCTATGCGGTTTTCCAGATTTATGAAAAACGATAATAATTGCTTCCTTTACTTTAATAGGAATGTACTTTAAATCTATGATAGCGTTAAATACTTAGGTAAGTTTATGTATCGCCTTTTCAGGAAATTTTTTAAGTATTAATTCATTTATTTGATCTTCTCCGGGTGCTTTTTTTGTTTTGCATTTTTTAATTAATTTACCAGTTTCACCAAAAGAGAAGTTAAAAATTTCTGATGGTTGGAACACCGAGAAAGAGCCCCGAAAAGTCAAGAACAATTTGAAACGTGGTTCCTTCCCGCGCCTCGAAATCACGTGACTCTGGCGTCACGGGTTTTTGCTATCTAAACTGCGTGCTGATATGATTTTTTTAAAAAATCGGAAAAAATCGAGTTATCCGACCAAACCCACTTCGTTTATCTGGATGGATACCTGAACATGGGTGAATCATTTTCAGACTTAGTTTTTAGCTCTTTACAATGATTTCTAGGTCAAAAAGTGAGTTCAAAACCACTCCTTTCCCGTTTTCTTCATGGAGGGAAGGAGCCATTCGGCGGTGAGCGGAGGGCGGTGCGCAGCACGCAGCAACAGGCCCTGCTCGGGTTCTTACGGAAGCGTCCGCTCATCATCGAAGCCAATCAGAGCTCGAGGTGAGCTCAACCTAACCTAATGCCGCAATCACACGCTGAATTTAGCAGCTGAATGTGGAAGTCAACAGTCATCGCCCAACGGCTGAAATTTAGCAAATTCGAGTTATTTTCATCCATATGTGTATCAAATCTACTCGAATAGTTCAAACAAATTCAAAATTGGTCCGATGGTTGCTGAGAATCGTTGCTGAATTTTGCGCGTCACGCGCAAAATTCAGGCATCGGGCCGATGACTTCCACATTCAAGCCACATTCAGCTCCCACATTCAGCGTGTGATTGCGGCATAACCTGTCCTCCACTAGATAAACGCGCGGTCAAGATGTGAGTATGGATAATGGCGGCGAGGAGACTCCCGTGCGGTGTGACGCGTAATTTAACCGACTGTACAGCAGCCAATGAAAATTGCATTTTTCCAACTTGAATTTGATGGAATTTTAGCGACCGTTTTCAGGCTTTAGGACTCGATTTTGGACTTTTTAGACGTTACCGACGTTTTTGCCGCGAAAAATCCTGTGGCTGCGTGTTTTTAATTCTTAAATCCCTCACCCATGCAACAACCCCATTGTATCGCAAAGCTCAGTTAGTGGAGAAAATCAAATTAAAAGGAGGGAGGGGGGGAGGGAGAAATGACAGCCCGACGCCTTGAATTCCGCAAGATTTGACTGTACTAGAATTGCATCGATCTTCTAGGAATTGTTTCGCCATATTCGGGGAGTTATTGGCCCCCAGAATGGAAGGGAGATGAAAGACGATGGTAGATAATTTGCAGGGTGTCCCTGAAGTCCGTGCCTCCTTTTTAAATTTTTTCCAGTTGAGCGTTGAAACGAAACTTGGGAAATGTCTCCAAGTCTAGGTGAACTACTTATAGGCGTATCCAAAACTTTCGGAGGACATCCCCCGGAGGGGGTGGGCGCCTAACAACTGTATTTTTCAAATAACCAACCTACAACCCTCCTCTCCAGATGCTTCATTTGAAAGAGAGTAAAAAAAGAAAACTTTTCGCGAAAGTTGCGGGTCACCAACCTCATTGATTTCAATACGGCGGTCGAAAAATGACCGGAAATTGACATAACCTATCTGCAAATGGATTCAGGTACCTGAAACTCGGCATACGAAGGTTTTCTATGACGCGAGAATAAAGCAAGGGGCGAAGGTTTCTCAAAATAGCGGAAATTGGGCATTTCCAATTTTGATACGTGGATTTACTTCAAATTTGTTAGGTATTCAGAATTCATAAAAATGATAAAAACAAATTTGGTTTCATTTCTGTAACATTATCGGACATCTTTCAAAATGGCGGCGGAAAATTGGTCCCAGTAAAATGGGTATACGAGCTCTTGGTTGCTTATAAAGTATTCAGTAATTTTGAAAAATGAAACCATATTTTTTTTTCTTTTTTTCTTTGTTTTCTTTTTTTTTCTTCATCCCTGTACATTCCTGGATACCAATTTTAATGAAAATCTATTTGTAAGCATTAAAACTGCACACTTACCGCCATTTTCTAAGATATCGACTGTTTTGAAAAACTCTTCTACGATGATTTTTCCTCATTCCAAAGAAACTCCAAATACTGGGTTCGAAGTACATTCAACAGCAAATAGACTATGTCAATTTCTCGCTATTTTGAAACAAATGAAAATAGCAATAGATCGTATTCGATACATCAAACGGGTGAGATTGTATCGATATCGATTGGTTCAAAACATAAACAAAGCCTCAAAAGTAAATTCAGAAATCTGAGAGAACGGATCTTTTGAAACAGATTTTTTATTCTTTTGAGTACCAAATTCCAATGCAAAGTGAAATTGTCAGGAAATTTCTCATTTTCAGCTTTTCCAATTAAAATCCTTACAGTTTGGTTTGAGGTTATGTTCTATTGTTTTGAACCAAACCATACATCGAACCGTTATCGAATACGGTCTATCTGCCACTCGTGCTACAAATGTTCTTTTAGTCCTCTTTGGAATGAAGTATCGCAGGAGACGGGTTGCCGTTTGAAGAAAAAAATCCCCCCCCCCCCCTCAGGAGCGTGTCTTTCCAAAATTTGGATAGAAGTAGTCCTCTCTGACCTAGAACCATTCCCAAACTTTCATTTCAAAATTGGGAAACATTTTAAAGGGTAGGAGGTGTACTGACTTCAGGGACACCCTGTTAATGGTTGTATCACTGCGATGGTATTGCAATGGACCACTAAACAAGGTACGAATTTAAGCGATCTGATACATATTTCTTCACCAGAATTTCACGTAGAAAACGATTCACACAACGAAAATTACGGAAACCAACTCCTAACGAAGATATTAACGTCTTTATTTCACATTGGTTACGAGGAATTTGAACTGCCCGCTGACAAGAAACTCATAACTCTACGTGAGTCAAATCGCCCACTACAACGGTTTCAGCAAGCTTCTCAATCGAGCAATGTTCATTTCCCATCATGTGTTGTTCAAACTATTAGCAATTTGCTATA